TTCCTGCTGCATATTTTGAGTTTTACTGCATATCTTTGCTCATTTTTGGTTCAATTTTATTCTTTTTATTTTTGTTTGTATTTTGTGTTCTGTTTCTGCTGTATTTTCTTTTGCATTTTAGCTAAACTAAGACATGCCCTGCATGGTGCCAGCTCTAGCACGCACAGCAGAACCCTAGTCGATAAGAAGTTGCAAATCAGTATTCGAAAAGCACGGAGCCTGCAGGATCGCATGCAGCAGCAGCAATCATCGCAGCAGCCGTCGCAGCCCTCAGTCTGCCTCCCATCACAGGGGGGGCCCCTCCCTCAGCTGACAAGGTAGTGCCTGGAAACCGTGTTAGTTTATGGATGCCAGGGGAGGAAGTAACCATGGGTGCTCCATGGTAAGAGCTCGTATTGTCTTGGCAAACACATGGGAGAGAGAAGAATCCCTTGAAAAAATTTTCTTATCTTAGGTCAGACATACAGTGAAAAACTCACTGCACTGCTGATTCTTTCCTTAATAGTTCATAGAAAGATCCAAAAATGCAGCGTAATAAATAGACCACTTGTCCACATTTCCTGCAGGTGAGTTAATTCCTGTGTTTGTACAATAACATTATTATATTTGTATGTATTACATTCATACACATGGCAATCTGGGCCATGTTTTATGTGGTAGTAGCAGCCATGTGATTATTTTTGGATTTCAATGCTTTCATCCTTCCTGGGTTCAAGTGTTGCTCTGATTGACCCATGGAGAAGACAGAAAAAGATTCTGTTTGTTTTGCTGCTTTATGGTCAAGACTTAGAAAAAAGTCCCAGTAGCCATTAGTATAGTTCCTGTACTTTAGCCTTTGAATTGCTATTTACTTAGTACAGATGGACTTAAGTAAAAATTTTGGCTGTTAATAAATCTGAGTAGTTTGAAAACATAAATGTAATAAAATCAGTTAACATGTTCCAAACATTTGCCTATGTCCAGAACTGAGCTAAGCACTTTATACCCATAACCTTACAAGATAAAAAGACTATTACATAGCATATTTTACAAATAAGGAAACTTGGGCTCGGGGAGAATAAGTAAAGTACCCCAAAATAGCTAGTTGGTAAGTGACAGAAGCACAGAGTTCAAATCCAGGTCTGTTAGATGCCAAAGCACATGCCCTTAACCTTTATGTAACACAGGTTGGACATGCCTAATTTAAATCCAAAATACCCCCAAATCAAGAACTTTATGACTGCCAGCGTGATGCAACAAGTGGAAAATTTCACACCTGACCTCGTGACAGGTTACAGTCAAAGTGCCACAATACAAAAATACTGTATAAAATTACCTTTATGGACCCAGCCATGATAGCACACTCTACTTGATGCTACTAGTAGCCTGGTGGTATTTGTAGGTTGAGGCTATATGGGAGACCCACCTGAAAAGCCAGATGAAATGGCATCCAACTGGAGTTCTAAGTATTCAGTAGACTGAGGCAGGAGGATTGCAAGTTCAAGGCCAACCTGTACAACATAGAGAGACCATGTCTGAAAGGGCTGAGCTTGGTAGCAATTGCCTTAGTGCCAGCTACTTTGGGAAGCTGAGAAAAGAGGATTTTGATATAGTGAGACCCTATGAGACCCTATCTTAAAAAATAAAAATACTACCTTCAGGCTATGTGTATAAGGTATATCTGAAACATAACTGAATTTCATATTTAGACTTGGGCCTCATCTCTAAGATGTCTCATTTTGAATATTCTCCAAGTATTTCAGATAAGGGTCACTCAGTCTGTACTGTCTTTTATGATTAGGTTTCCCATATAGGTATAGTCATGTGTTGTGTAACAATAGGGATATGTACTGACAGGTATATTTTTTGGCAGTTTCATTATAGTGCAAACACAGGAGTATATTTATACAAATCTAGATGGGACAGCCTACTTTACCATAGGCTATATGGTATAGCCTAATACAGTCTTAGGGGACAGCCATCACACATGTGGTCCATCAGTGACTGAAACACAGTTATGTGGTGTGTGACTGTATATCATATTCTTAAAAGGATGACTGAGTAAATATATGCACAAAAGTTTGTTTTTGAGAGAGATTTTTGCTATACAGTGTGTGCACTCCCCAGAGAAAGACAGAGAGAGAAATCACCCCCTAGTGTGGAAGGCCACACTGCAATCCCTTCTCCTCCAATCTCCTCTCAGGATTTTGGGCATGCATTCACATGCGCCCAGCATGAGTTTCAAGATGCCAGGTCCAGAACTTAAACTGCAGTTGGCCATGTGGGAGTACAACATCTTAACCCCTATGCCAACTGCTGGCTCCTACACAAAAGTTTCTAGCATATTCCCATTCAAATTTAGAGATTTTTTTTTCCCTTTTTTTTTTTTTTTTTTTTTTGTCATAGGGCATATGTACTTGCTAAAGAGATATGGAGAGAGGGAAAGTGAGAAATTACTCCCCACTCCCTCAACCCCCCATGTCCCGGGGATGGTCAAACCACAATCCCTTCTCTTCCATTCTTCTTATGTGAGCACACATACATGTCTGGCATGATTTTCACCAGCTACAGTCAACCATGTGGGAATTCAGTACCTTAACTACTATGCTACCTGTTGGCCAAAATCTTCTTTTAATATAACCAATTTAGGCAGCTAAACTCTTTCCAGAAAACATAATATTTGATGTATACAAGTGATTGAGGTTTTAAGTGCCTATTACAGAGTTTTTAGGACAGACATATAAAGCAATTAGTGAGAAACTAACTAAATACAGTTAACCCATAAATCTCAAGAGAATCATGTCATAGCTACTTTGGGGAAACATCGAGTAATCAAATCCAGATTATGAAAACATATTTGAAAGGATTGATTTCTATGTAATTCCATGAACTCAAATCACCTTTTATCCTGTAAATGTGGCCTCTTAGTTTGCTTGGATGGGCTGCCTCTCTGGACCCCAGATAGGACTTCTTTCCCTGCATATCATCCTGGATTTTTGCTGTTTAGTATGAGTGATTTTTAGGCTTTGCTTACCTCCCATGTCATCTGCATGTAGGAGTAGCGATTTTTGTTTTTCAATTTGTAAGTAGAATGTGATTGGAATGAGACTTCACTGCTACACTGCTAGTGAAGAACATCGGAAAGGACTTCATGTAATATTACTGTGTGCATTGGTGAGGGCATTTAATAAAGAGGATTAATATTATCTATTTACCTGGGTGTGAGCTGACCATGTGCCATTTCTTATGTGAGCCTCTGAACTATTGGCTCTACTCCATTTATTTTCACCATTCCCTTTGTGGGTGGTTAGCTCAAAATGGGAATAGAATGAACAGTTCCTGCCAATCAAGTGTTCCTGCGAATCAAGGCAGCTTATATCTGGCTCTCTCTTTGTTTCAGTGAACAGCCTGTCCCGCTCCAAGTATTGTTAAGCTCAGAGGCTCAACTGGAATCCTGCACGGATACAGAGTTTGGGGCCAATTCTTTTTTCCACTCACCTGCTTCCTGCTATGAGTCACACTCATCGCTATTCCCAGTGTCACCTGCCCCTTCTGCCCCACAACACAGTTCCCCCAGTAGGTCTGCCTCAAAGCTTCCAACTTCAGTTGGGATGGACAACACTGACCCCTCTGCATTCCACAGGCAGGGCTTACCTAATACACCGGGGAGGACTGAGAAGAATTTTCATCATGGTTGGGAGCCATTGGATGCCCCAGAGGGTAAGCTGCAAGGCTACAAGGGTGATAATAGCAGCTGTAGCAAGTTCACTGCACGAGAAGGAAGAATTGCTCAAGAAGAGGTATTCCAAGAAAAGACGGATCCTGTAGACCCATCCTTGGTGGGAGATGCACACAGCTTGAGTTGTAGTCCTTCAAGTTCATCAGCTCAGCCTGGCTTTCCCCTCTATAGGGTCTACCACTCCGCAGTACCTGCTGCTTCTTCATCTGTGCTTCACTCTTCTGATTCTGTGCAGAAAACTAATCAATGCCTCCAAGCCCAAAGCCTCAAAATTTCATCGAGTTCAAAAGGGGATGGAGGCAGTGAGGAGCCTTATAGGCCAGAGTTTCCCAGCACAAAGGGACTTGTCCGCTCTCTGGCAGAGCAGTTCCAGAAGATGCAAGGTGCCTCCATTAGGGATGGGACAGGTTTGCCAAATAATCTGAAGAAAAACTCTTCTTCTGACTCTAAGCCTCCTTTCCTACAGGATCAAGAGAAAGGCCACTGGCCTTGGGCAAAACAGCAATCCTCTCTGGATGGTAGGGACAAAATGCCTTCCTGGGAAGAGCCTGGTGGTCATACTTCTCTTGCCTTGAACTCTGGGCTGCCTAATGGTGAAACTTATAGGGGAGGACAGCCTGCATTGGCAGAACCAGACATATTCCAAGGAAGGGAGTCCCAAGTGAGAGATGCTAGACCTAAAGAGCTGAGTGGCAGCATTGACATGGGGGATTCCTTGCCTTTGGATTCCTGGGTGAATGTTACAAGGGACTCTGATTCTCAGCTTCAACACGGAGTTCCTGGGCCAGGAGTGAAGTCTTCCCCCCACGATTCCCACCCATGTGTAACCTATCCAGAGAGAAATCACATCCTTTTGCATCCATACTGGAACCAAGACACAGACCAGGAGACCTCAGAATTAGAGTCTCTCTACCAGGCCAGTCTTCAGGCATCTCAAGTTGGATGTTCTAGATGGGGACAGCAGGACATGGCCTGGCACCCACTTAGCCAAATAGGTAAGAAGGTACCTGAGGGTGGGAATGTGGGACACATATAAGCTGAAAGCAGGGGGACAAAATCAGAAGAGGGGTGATGTTCTATACAGATGTTATCTCCAGCTTTGTAGAAAGTTGTAGAACTTACAAAGTCTTTGTGATAAGGGCTGGGCATTTTTCTGACTAGAGTGGAGTGGAGAATGGGGGCAGAGTTCTCACTCACAGATCAATTCTTTCTTAAAGAAAGAGACAACTAAGTATTTGTCTGTGCTTCTCCAGTATACAGTGCTGAGCAATCGTTTATATGTCTTTGTGAGTGATTCAGCTTGAGATAAAGGAGGCTGAGAAGAAAACTCATCTTTCTATGGCTCAGGTATTGAACTAATCCCAAGATTCAGCTTTTAGGTCCACCTTGCAACAAAATGTCCATGTTGAGCCAAGCCTCCAGTGTGGCATTTCCAGATCATACTGAACCTTCCCTGATTCCTTCAGAACTGCCAGATTTAGTGTTCACAGAATTTTCAAGTAGTCATTCACCGACTCTTGAGATAATACCGAGCGAAATGTGAAGCCTACACTTCAAGTGTACATTATGGGCTTACGTTCTGGAAATATGAACAATATTTGTAACTTAGATTGATATACTTAACTTTAAAGCCTGAACTACTTTCCTGGTTCAATATTAACCTGCAGTGTAAATTTAGAAAAGTCGCTTAATATCCCAAAGCCAAGTATTTACTTATAAAATGAGATTGTTGGCTCAATGTTTTTTTTAAGGTGTCTCCCAAATCTAAAATAATATATATGATTCTGTGAAATTGAACTCAGTAACCTCCCCCCCCCCTTTTTTTTCTAAAGACAAGTTATAACCAAAATCCTTCTTGGCTCAACCTCTTAGTAGAACTAAATAAATACACATACCACCATGCTCATTTAAGATAGGGTCTTACCATGTTGTCCAGGCTAGCCTTGAACTTGTGAGCCTCCTACTTCATTTGACTTCTTCAAGTATCTGAGATTATAAGTGAATATCACTGCCTGGCCTTTAGCTTGGATCAGGAATCAAGCTGGGCTGCCTAGTTGTCCTACTCTACAGAGCATACCTAAGTGGTTTGCACTGCCTGGCTGGGCCTAAAGTCAAATAACTTGTATCTTCAGCTCAGATGTGACAGTTTCTGTAATGACATGAATTCCTTGATGGCAACCAATTCTTAATTATAGCCAGACAGAAGTGTTTGAGTACCTACAATGTTCTCCAGAACTGTGAAGAGATAACACGTAAATATGATTTAATATTAAGATACATTTCAGGACCAACAGATGGTGTAGCGGTTATGTCACTGGACTCTTACATGGCCTACCACAGTTCAAATCCTGGACTCAGTGGCTTGAAAATCATACTAAGCGCTGGGACCAACAGTTAGCGTAATGGCTATGTTACTAGACTCCCATGTAATCGACTGCAGTTTGAGTCCTAGACCCGGTGGCTTAAATTCACACCGGGCGCGTATGTGTGCGTGCCCAAGATCCCGAGAGCAGAATGAAGGAAAAGGGATTGCAGCGTGGCCATCCCCCCCGGGAGGGGGGGGTGATTTCTCCCTTTCTGTCTCTCTCTCTATCTCTGTCTTTCTGGTGAGTGCACGTGCCCAATGGCAAAAACCTCTCCCCCCTCAAAAAAAAGAAGAAGAAAGAAAATCATACTGGGTGCATGTGTGTATTTGTCCAAGATCCTGGCAGGAGAATGGAGGAAAAAGGATTGTGGTGTGGCCATCCCCCAGCGGGTGATTTCTCACTTTCCCTCTCACTGTGTCTGTCTCTCTCTGGCAAGTGCATGTACCCTAAGGCAAAAACTTCTAAAAAGAAAAAAGATATGTTTCCAGGCTGACAGTTGGCATGGTCATTAAACTCTGGATTCCCACGTGGCTGACTGTTGTTCAAGTCCCAGACCTGGCAGGTTTTTTCTCTCTTGTCTGTTTCTAGTCAAATTAAGAAATAATAATAGTAAATAAAATAAGTAATTATATATATACGTATGTATATATACGTGTGTGTGTGTGTGTGTCACCCCCGGAAGATCTGTGTTCTGGGGACCAGCAGGTGGCATGGTGGTTAAGGTGATAGACACTCCCATGTGGCCAACCATAGTTTGAGTCCCAGACCTGGTGGTTTGCTTTCTCATTTTCTCTCTGTATCTTTCTCTGGTCGAATTAAAATAAATGAATCAATCAATAAATAAAATTTTTTAAAAAGATCTGTGTTCTAGTATAGGCTAAGATCTGTGTTCTGGGGACCAGCAGGTGGCATGGTGGTTAAGGTGATAGACACTCCCATGTGGCCAACCATAGTTTGAGTCCCAGACCTGGTGGTTTGCTTTCTCATTTTCTCTCTGTATCTTTCTCTGGTCGAATTAAAATAAATGAATCAATCAATAAATAAAATTTTTTAAAAAGATCTGTGTTCTAGTATAGGCTTTGTAATAATGTTTACGAATTGCTCTTCTAGTGTACTGTACAGAGTGATATGATAAGATTCTAAAGAAGAGCTAGAGTCTGCCTTACTGAACTTTCTAATATACAGAAGAACAATTACACAAGTGTTAAGTGTTTTTTGGTTTTGGAGAGGTTTTAGCTACAGGGCGTGTGCACTCGCCAGAGAGACAGAGAGAGACAGAGGGACAGAAAGCGAGAAATCACCCCCCAGGGGAGATGGCCATGCCTCAGTCCCTTCAACTCCATTCTCCTCTCAAGATCTTGGGCATGCATGCACATGCACCCAGCGTGAGTTTAAGTCACTGGGTCCAGGACTCGAACTGTGGTTGACTACATGGGAGTTCAGCAACATAGCCATTACGCTAATTGCTGGTCCCCTAGTGTTAAGTGCTTTAATAATAATAATATATATACAAAAAAATACATTGGAAAATTGAATTAACTAGTTGAGCGCTAAATGTCTTTTTTTTTTTTTTTTTAGAGTTTTTTTCCTACAGGGTAGGTGTGCTTACCAGAGAGAGGGACAGAGGTAAGAGAGAGAAAGTGAGAAATCACCCTGCAGGGGTGATGACTATACTGCAACCTTTTCTCCTCCATTCTCCTCTAAGATTTTGAGCACACACACACACGCACATGTTCCTGGCATAGATTTCAAGACGCTCGGTCCAGAACTTGAACTGTGGTTGGCTATGTGGGAGTTCAGTACCTTATCTACTGTACCACCTGTTGGCCCCTCTGACATGACTTCCAAATATTTGTGAAATCAAGCAGGTTTTTATTTTGGTTAGAAGTCCTCATTTAAAGATGGAGTTCATTTTTATTTATAATTATTATTATGCTTATTATTATTTAATTTGCTATAGGGCACATGTGCTCACCAGAGAGAGACAGAGAGAGGGAAAGTGAGAAAGCAAGTGCCATGTCTGGGTCTCAAGCCTTGGTTGGCCATATGGGAGTCCAGTACCTTAACCCCCATGCCACCTGCTGGCTCCAGAATATGGAGTTCTTTTCTATGGGGAGAGGTTTTTGCTATAGGGCACATGTGCTCACTAGAAAAACAGAGAGAAACAGAGAGACAGAGAGTGAAAAATCACACCCCAGGGAGGATGGCCATGCCACAGTCCCTTGTCCTCCATTTTCCTCTCGGGGTCCTAGGCACACACACACACGTGCCCGGCGTGAGTTTAAGCCACCTGGTCCGAGACTTGAACTGGAGTCGACTACAAGGGAGTCCAGTGACATAGCCATTACACCAACTGCTGGTCCCAAAGAATATAGAGTTCTTCAGAACTGGCATGACATAGAGTAAAGAAGTGATCAAGTTTAACTAATCAGGAAGTAGATGATGAAGGAAAATACCAAGGATCCATATGTGAAAAGATGTTATATATTTAATTTTTGTCCTCCAAGTCCCTCTTTATGTTATTTGAAAGAATTTATTAAATACCAAATTGCCTTTTTTGAAAAATAAAAGCTTTCTTGATACATAATTTACATATCACACTGTTCACTTATTTAGTGTACCATACACTGGCTTTTAGTATACTAGGTTTTTCTATCCATCATCATGATCACTTTTTAAAGTGTTTTCCTTACCCCAAAAAAGAAACCCTATACCCATTAGCAGTCACTCCCTATTTCTCCTCCTGTTTTCCCCAGCCCCAGGCAATCACTAATATATTTTCTGTTTTCTATAGATTTGCCTATTCTGGACATCTCATATAAATGGAATCATATAGTATATGGTCTTTTTGATCTGATTAATTTTGACATGATTGAAATTGCTGAAGAGTTATATAAACACTAGCATTGACCTATATTATGAATTTCTTAGTATTTCGAAGCAGACATCATCTTAAAGATATCTACTTAAAAATTTAAAATAACTTGATACTGAAAATTTCAATTACATATATTCCAAAGAAAGAGTAAGAGTAAATGTAATAATTCCCCAAGGGCCAGCAGGTGGCATGGTGGTTGAGGTACTGGACACTCCCACATGGCCAACAATCGTTCGAGTCCTAGACCTCGTGGCTTGCTTTCTCACTTTCCTTCTCTCTGTATGTCTGTCTTTCTCTGGTCAAATAAAAATAAATGAATGAGTAATTAAAATTAAATACATCTTTAAAAAATAATTTTCCAATACTCATCAGTGTTTATGATGATTATCTGGGATTATTATGAATATATAGCCAATTTTGATTTAGCTATAGCTGCCCCCACATTTTTCTTTTCACTAGATTATTTTAAAGCAAATCTTAGTGTATCATTTCATCCACAAATAGTTTGATATATGTCTCAGAAATAAGGACTCCTAGGGGCCCAGTTGTGGTAGTACAGGTAGTAGGGCACTGCTCTGTAATGTTGAAGCCACAAAGAAAATCAGGAGTTTGGATTCCTGGTTGACCTGAAGACACTAGGTATTTGTGCACCCCGTGATCCTGGTTAGCTATAAGGCTGGAGTGTGGAATCATGGCATGACAGTCAGATTCTGTTGAGGGTGCCCACCCCCACCCCCACAACCATGAAAGA